CACATTGAATGCCTTCTGCAAGATGGGTTTGCAATACATTTTGTGTGTATTTTAGATGCAAAAAAGCGTATGTGAAAATGGTATGCAAACTCGGGGTATGTGGGATGGGAATCTGCTGGCTGAAGAGGTCAGCCCAAACGTTGGTGACCGCCCTCTGCAAGAAGTTCAAGGGGAAGGTCAGTCAACAAATGCGGAGCTGAGTAAGTACAGAAAAAGGCCACATTTATGCCAAAGGCGACTCAGGACCAGCCCTTTGGATGGTCCCTGATGAAGGACTGCAGGAATGAGAGATGAGGCAAGTAAAAGGAAGATTCATATGTATTTTGCCATCTCCCGATATTAGCCATAAGGACCCCTTCCTCTACTTTAGCAACACAAGGCTGACATTTCTATTATCTCTTCCTGTCACTAGGTTTATTTCTCCTGGAGCAACACAATTGCTGTCTTTAAGATGCTGTCAACTGATGTTCAACCAGTGCTACTTAAAAGCAATTTTCCCTCCAAGCCCTAAACTCTGTGTAATTCTATTATTAGAAGACACTGTCTCATAGAATCTTGCAACTCAGGCCCATAAAACAAACACAGTGGAGTCCAAACCACCCTGGCAGTTTCAACTCTGCAACAGGCAGCTTCCAGACACCCTTGGCTGGTGCGAGAATGTTCCAACTTGCTCCCATGCTGGCAGAGCACAATTAGAGGATGGCTGGCAGGTATCAAATAGATGGCTGGCAGGTATCAAATAGAGTGGTGACAGATCCCGGACAGGGCCAAGGCAGGCCTGCAGCTCCCTCTCAGCCAAAGGCAGGAATCTCTGGGGATCAGGGGCTCAGCCGCCTCTGGTGCCGTCCCCCCTGCCTAGACTGCACGTAGCCCTCCCTTGGCTTTCTTGGGCAGGACAACGTTCTGGCACCAGTGTGGGCCTGTCGCGAGAACCCACAGGCTTCCCAGGCTGTTATGGCTATGGTCACCGTAAACAAAAACAGCAGTCATCCTGGCTCCAAAACGTGATCTCCACAATGTGAGTGCAGGGAGATTTTGTGCTATAATTAAAATACATAAAGACATGCAATATTTGTCATATTTCCTCCAGCTAAACAGACTCCTACTCAGAATCCTGTCTGTGTTCCTCAGGACTTGCTGGGTTTACCCCAAGGGGCTGGACAAAGTGTTATTTTCTTTTCTTCATTTTTCTTTTTTTAGATGGAGGCTCACTCTGTTGCCCAGGCTGGAGTTCAGTGGTGCAATGAGCTCGGCTCACTGCAACCTCCACCTCTTGGGTTCAAGTAATTCTCCTGCCTCAGCCTCCGAGCAGCTGGGATTACAGGTATGCACCACATTGCCCAGCTAATTTTTGTATTTTTAATAGAGATAGGGTTCACCATATTGCCCAAGCTGGTCTCGAACTCCTGATCTCAAATGATCTGCCGTTCTCAGCCTCCCAAAGTGCGGGGATTACAGGTGTGAGCCACCGAGCCTGGCCCAAAGTGGTATTTTCTAAGTGTGCCATGATGTGAGAAAAATTGTTAAGCCCTGACTTTCAAATTTCTCTTCCTGGAAATTATGACCTGGATTTTACTAATATGCTATCTATGGCAGGATCTGGAGTGAACTGAAGACTAAGCATAAACGCTGCCGGTCAGGGGCTGTTTCTTGTGCCTGAAAATCGTGGGGCCTTGGACACCGCCTTTCCAAATCAAGATGGCACTACACCCAAGTGCTCAGAGGGAATGAGTGAGGATGCAGCTGGCTGCTGCCTCTGAGAGCCACAGTTGGTGCAAGGACCCCAGCACTAACAAATGGCCACCAGGACACTCCTCCGTGTGCATGGGGTTATGCCCCTGAGCACGAAGGGCTCAGAAGATCCACCTTTGGCCTGGTGCTGGCTGTAGCCCTTGGGGCATCTGGAACCTGAAGTGCTTCCTTGAATGCTGCAAAAATAATCTTTACAGCCAAAGTCAGGCCCGCCTCGGCCTCCCAAAGTGCTGGGATTACAGGCATGAGCCACTGCGCCTCGCCGCAGGCATGTTTTTTAAAAGGCAAAGCATGTAATTTTTATATTAGTCTCAATTTGGTCAAAGAAAATGACTGATCTGTTGCTATCAGCCTCAGTTACTACGTTTTATTTTTTAGTTTTCTTACTAGTGCATTACAATGAAATAGAACTTTATTGAAGAAGTTCTTGGGCTGAGGGCAAGTCACTGTAAAGCAGCCACCATCACTGGCATCTGGTCTTGGTGTGATAAATGCTCAAGAGAAAAACCTACACAGGGCCAGGAAGTGATGATGTAGGTTCCCTACCTGCCGGAAGGCACCACATCTCTGCCCACAAAAGCAGATGTGGAAGTTGCCCCTCTGTTCTTCCAGTCTCTCTCTCTCAGAAGCAGTTGTCCCCCTCAAGCTCATTATTTCTAACCCCCCCAGCCAGTCCCAGGGGAGGGTAAATGCTAAAATTCCAAGGCCATTTCCCGGGGAGAAGAAAGGAGAGGTGAGCAGGAACAAAGAGGTAATTATTTGATTGTGGAGACTTGCAAAACCTATGAACTATTTGCGGTCCCCATCCCTGGTGTTACCCACCCTAGGGAGATGGGTGTGGAAAGGAAGACCCTTTACTCACTCATTGCCAAATCATGCCATTAGTCAAGTTCTCCACAAAATCATACCAACTTTGTTAAGAGATAGGAATTAAGTAAATGTCTAAGTATTTCTCTATGACCTTCTTTAACAAGCAACCTTTAAAATTGGGGGAATCTTGGGGATCCAGCAACCAATTCTGAAAAATCTGATGAAAATCTGATTTAAACGGTTTTTTTTTTTCCTAAGTTTCTAGACCTTTCCATATCAGAAATGAAGGTTTATCACAGTGTCTTTTTGCAAGCCCCTGTCATTTCAAGGACACGATGAGAAAAAGCTAATGCATCTCCCCTGCTCTTCTCACTACTCAAGCTCAGGAAAAACTGCACCCTGCATCCAGAGAGTGGGTGGGCGTAAGGATGTAAAGGGTCCAACCTTGACGGGTAGGGCAGCGACTGGCTGGTGAAATCACTTAGCTCTTGCTCTAGTCTCCGCCAGGGTGACGCCAGCCAGTCGTCTGACCATTCAGGCACTTGTTTATCCTGCTCTTGCTAATTGGGTTGGCATTTGGCTTGTCACCAGGTATCTGGGATGCTCGCAGGGAGAGAAAGTGTTGAGAAATACAAACCATCTCCTTAATAATTGGTATGATATTTCAGGATCTCTGAATTTCTTCCTTTGTGTGATATTTCTGGAGAGAAAAATCCAGTAATAAACCTTTTTACAATGAATGTTAATGGACCTCTTAACTGTCGCTAAGATATGAGTATCTTTCTCTCAAGATGGTCACTGTAGGAGGCTGATTAAAAACACTTTGACTTCGTCAGACAGAAGGTAGTATTATATCTTGCATGTCATCAATTAATTAAACTTTCCAGCATCATCCAAGAATAGCCTTAACAATGCGTTTGTTGTTAAAGAGGACACTCGTGTGGAATGAGATGCATGCGAGGCTACAGTGCATTGCCAAACCATCTATTTTTGGGGTTAAGAATATATTAAAATTCCAGTTTTATGACTTTTATCTATGTGCTTCTCAAACATCTGCTTTAAATTTGTCAGCACTTTCATAATTTAGCCTAATAAAGTTGCATAGTTCTTAATTCCTAGGGAAAGAATAGTGTCAGGGAAGCAAAAAAAAAAAAAAAAAAAAAAAAGTCTATACTTTCCCAGGGTCATAGCAAATAATTGTGTAATATTTGAACTAGTAATTTTTCTTTTATTTTGAGACAGTCTTGCTTTGTTGCCCAGGCTGGAGTGCAGCGGTGTGATCTCGGCTAACTGCAACCTCTGCCTTCCTGGGCTCAAGCAATTATCCAATCTCAGACTCCCATGTATCTGGGACTACAGGTGCACATCACCACGCCCAACTAGTTTTTGTATATTTACTTTGGCAAAGACAGCATTTTACCATGTTGCCCAGGCTGGTCTCGAACTCCTGGCTTCAAGCTATCCACTCACCTTGGCTACCCAAAGTGCTGGGTTTATAGACATAAACCACTGAACCTGGCCTTTGAACTACTGATTTTGATTATGAATTTCCCATTGCTTAATGGGATTATAGTGAATTTTTAAAAACAAAACATTTAGTGTGATCAAAAATATAACACAATAGCCATCAAGTTATTTGGGAGTAGGTGGGTGTCACAAAATTAAACAACATTGAATGTCACCAGCTCAAAGGACTGAGGGTCATGAAACTGAGTGGAGAGGTCTTATAGAGTAAGAGAGTGGCGCTCTCTGACACAGGAGGAGAGGAATCAGGCAGCGGTGAGGCCACTGAGGCCAGCAGAGGTGTGGCGGGCAGCCCACCCTCGCCTGTCCCAGCTCTTGGCATGGAGAACCACCTACCTTTCGGGTTAGCCTCCTCTTGATCTCTCTCTTCTCCTCCTGTTCCTCTTGTTCATTCCGAGCTGAAAGAAATATTTAAGATGTTTTTTATTTCAGTAAACAGTGTTGTATACAGGTGCATCCTCTGGACCTTGGCAGGCTCTAGGCCAAGCATTGCAGTTTGAAAAAGGGAAGAGAGAGCTCCTGTCCCCTCCCCCAGCTGCCCTTCTCCTTATGGGGATTGCTTTCCAAACTACCTGCGTTATTTCCAATTGCTACTGAGCAGGTCGACCTTATCATTCTGCCTTCTTTACATCACATGGGGTTTCAGGTCTCCAGGCAGAGATGCTGGGGTTGAGAAACATGGCTACAAGGAGGGTAGGCTTTTTTTTTTTTTTTTTTTTTTTTTGACAGGGTCTCATTCTGTCTCCCAGGCTAAAGTGCAGTGGCACAATCACAGCTTACTGTAGCCTGGAACTCCTGGGCTCAAGTGATTCTCCTACCTCAGCCTCCTGAGTAGCTAGGACTTCACATGCACGCCACCACACCTGACTAATTTAAAAAATGTTTTATTGAGATGGGGGTCTCATTATGTTGTTCAGGCCGGTCTTGAACTCCTGGCATCAAGCGATCCTCCTGCCTTGGCCTCTCAGAGTGCTAGGATTACAGGTGCAAACCACCGAACAGCGCAAGGAGATGGGTGGGAATGTTGACGCAGGGACACAGGCATTTGGGGAGATGTGAGGATCCTTTCTTTGGATAAGACTGGGGCTCACTCATTCTCTATGGAGCCTCCCAAACACTGAAGGAGGCTCATTGTGATGTAGTCCTTGTGTCTGGTGCCCTGTGGGGGTAGAGAGAGCAGAAGACCGACCTCAACCTGCTGCAGGAACAAGACAAGGCAGGAGGAATTTCAAAACGCTCACCTTTCACAAGCCCTGATTCCATCGATTCTTTGAATCTTCCAAGAAGTCCACAGAGCATGGGTGAGGCCAGAGTGTGGGATACAACTGCCTGCATGTAGACTTTTTAGGAGTGGCTCAGAAGAGTAGACTGCAGAGCCTAAAAGCTCTTGGCTTAATACATGGGTGATTTACTCAGATTTTTAAAGAGCTGTATATATAAGAGAGTCTGGGGAAGGGGGCAGATATTTGAAGGGCAGAGAATCTGGGCTTATTTCTCCTTTTAAGCTAACTGGATGACCTAGGGTAGAGCATTTCCCTTCTGAACCTTGGAAGAATTCCTTGATATCTGTGGAAGCACAGACATCAGCGTAGCATTGTTGGACTTGAAAAAACTATGGAAGTCAGCTTGTATCAAAGAAGGCCTGTGATTCTCAGCTGTTACATTTCAAATGGTGTTAGTAAAAGGAAACACGTTGATTTCTGGCATAGGGTGCATCATGACTGCCTGGGACACTAGTTGGCTCATTTTGAAAATCACAGTTGTTGAATTATATTTTGGTAACTTCATTAGTTTGTTGTATTGGAGCACACATGCAATTCAGATATGGTTGCTTTTTGTCTTCATATGGGACAAGTCTTTAAAGGAAGGAAACCCCCTGTGCCTAGAAAGGGGTGAGGACCATCTGATAACTGTGTCACCTTTACACTGAAGGTGACTATACCTCCCACTAGCACAAGTGGTGTGAGGTCAGAGCAGAACTCAGGCCCTTGAGGGCCACCCCCACGGGCCTGATTTGGCCCCCCGACTGCCTGTGGGCATAAGGCTTTGTAGAAAGGCAGCACAAGAAACAGCCACATCTTGCTGTGGGCTGAGGTCACCAGAGGTCCCTGCTCCAGCCTACCCTACAGTGCCTGAAACCATCACCATGAGTGTGCTTTCCTTTGGATTAGAGATCTTATCTCCCACCCGGAGTGTGTGTTTTTTTTTTTTTAATGCAAATTTCTCTTGAATAAAAGCCCATTAAACTAGTCAGCCATTAATAGCTCAGTATGAATTAATCTAGCAGAGATAAACTGGGGGGGCAGACAGCAAAACCGGGAAGCAGGGAGCCCCCAGACAGTGACATTTGTACAAATGCAAATTTCAGTGGGATAAAACCTATTAAACCGGTCAGCCATTAATATCTTAGTATGAATTAATCTAGCAGAGACAAATGGGGAGGCAGACAGCAAGAACCAGAAGGAGGGAACTCCCATTTGGAGATGTGTCAGGTGGGAGAATGGATGGAAGGAAAGGTGGTCTGGATGTTGGGTCACTGGGGACAGCTAGAGGGCACACGGTGAAAATTTACAGAAGCACAGAATACCAGGGCCATGAGGGGCCTAGTGACCACCTCATCTACCACCACTGGTTTATAACTGAGGATCTGAAGGCCCAGGGGTGTTAAGTGGCTAGTCACACCCTACCTGGCTCAGTGGTTACACAGAGGGGCTTTTTCCTGTGGTCATGTTTTGCTTGGGGCCGGCTCTACTCCTCATTACTAGCCTCAGACTTCTGATCCTACAGGCCTCTTCGGAGCCGTGAAAGCAGGCATCCTGTGACACAGCTGACAGAGCATGGAGCCTTCATCTCCTATGTGCATTTCTTAGGTCACTCTTGGGGGTGGGGCCACAAGCTACCGCCTACGGAATCGATACCTTTAGTTCAAAGCCATTGACCAACTCAGGTTCATGAATTTTCAGGCAGAAGGTACCAAGACAACCCCATTAGGCAACTGGGAAGACAGGCCAGGAAAGGTGTACGATGTCATCATTACAGCTGCCACCATCAGAGGGTTCATTATGTGCTCAGAGGTGCACAGGGCCTCACTGGCTGCTGGACAGAACAGGGGCTGCTCCCAGGGCCAGGCAGGGTGAGGCTGGAAACCAGTCCAAGGCTCTCAAAGCTCCAGGGCTGAGCCATGGCACCTCTGTGCCCTGTTCCCCACCACCCACCACCGAGCAGTTCCTCAAATGGCTGAAAGCTCAGAAAATCAGTTTTAAAACAAACTCTTGGAGGATGTTTTCTTACATGACTAGACATTTTTGTTTGTTTGTTTGTTTAACAATCACGATAGATTAAATTTAAAAAAAATATTTAGGAGAACATAGTTCCAGAATACAGGGAAAAATAAGAACCTATGGGAAAACAGTTGATTTCTGAAAAGTTTCAAAACTATGAAATGATCCATCTGTTTGAATTGGTCAAGTAGTTCTTTAACTTGCAACTGGGTGGCCGGGACAAGTGGGATTAGGGAAGAGAATAAAAGAGAACCATGGGAACCATCTTTCACAACTCCTTTTTGGTTCCCTGAATCTAAGTTCCCTGCTTGATGGCGGTGAAAACCCAAGCTCAAAGGACCTGTGGTCTCCCAGGGATCTGGACAAGCCACAGAGGGGATCTGATGCCTTTGAGAGAACCCAGAGCTGAGCTAGGGGATTTTAGATCTCTTTGCAGAAACCGTATTCCCGGTGTGATAAGCACTATTTTCTGAAACCTAAATAATCCCCGGAGGCTTTTAGCTTCTTTGAGTTTAGGCCTCAGGTCAGAGGCCACAAGTACAGCAGGGGGCTGTGAGTAAGTTGTACCAGCTCACCTGGCTGTTTATCTTTCTCTCCAACAACGAAGTTTATAATCGCTCAGGTACCAGATTGGGGCAGAAAGGAAGACATCATACAGGCCAAATGCTTCCCTGACCTTGGAAATCCTTTGAAAAAGCTCTAAATTCATTCTATAGAATATTAAGCTTGGAAACTTTGAAGGATACCCCTTGGGCAGAAAAAAAATAAACGCACATTCCTAGAGACCTAGGCAATGCTTAGGGTTCCCCGAGGACCGAGGAAGGCCCAGTCCTGAAAATAACTTCCACTGAGAGTTGAGGAAGTGGTGGCTGGCATGGGGATGGGAGGCAAGATGTTGATAAAGGCCGGGTTGACATAAACGGACATGCGGGGGTGTCGGGTGGGGGTGGGTGCTGTAGGCAACAGGCCTCCCCATCAGAGCGGAACTCAGCACCGACCATCAGCAGACTACGAAATACCGAGCAAGTCACAAGGCCACAGTGAGCACGGTAGAAAGGTAAAGTCAAGAATATTTTAGTGTGGTTACAGTGGAAATTCCCGGCAAACTCACACTGCGGTTGCATATGATTTACTGGGCACGGGGGGCGGGGGAGCTGGGGGAGGCGAGGAGTCAGTCTGTATACCATAGCATTTCTAGAAAACTCTGCGTAGTATATATCTTTCTTTTCTGGAGAGAAATTAGAAGTGTGTTGTGGGGTAGGGGGAACAGGGTCATGAATTAAGCCAGAAATATTTGTTCACTATCTTGAGGCAATGTTGGTGAGAATGGTAGCAATGACTGAATGGAATGGTTTGATTTTTAAGTTATTTAATATCCACCACTAAACTGACGCATACTGGTGTCCATCAAATGCTTGATCTGTTTTAGTATTTTGTATCCTTTTTTTTTTTTAAAGCACCAAGTGGATCCTCTGTACATATTCAAATGTCTCTGTGTCTTAAACCAAACAAGGGGCTCATTTATATTTTTCTGTCTGCAGCAATGGTGAAAGGCAGTTTTCCTCGAATGAGACCATCAGACAGGCATGCCCGGGACCAGCTGTGGGAATCCTGAGAGACAGACATGAAGCACTCCACTTGGAAATGCTTTCTTAGTCTTTAAATTTAACGTTCAAAGGGATGAGGGATTTTTATCAACAGCAGCCAGCTGCAATGCAAAGTCATGCTTTCTTGTCTCAGTTCAAATGGCCATTAGCCGCCCATATCACAGTCTCCATTTTCAAGCCAATTTTGGTTTAAAGGTGACCCTACTCTCAAAAATCATTAAATAATAAGTGGTCTCACTCTAATTTTTCAGCTTCTCTCTGACTTTGCAACTCACTAAAAGGAAGGCTCTGCCTGCCGCCTGTGAGCTTCTGAAGTGGAATAAAATTTGCTTTCTCTTTGGGGAGGTCGTCTTTGGTGTTCTAACACACACGGAGGAAGCCTCAACCGTTAGAAAGGTTTTCAGTGCTTTCCGCACAGGCGCAAGGTAGAAACCTCGTGGCCTACCATTAAATAATAACAAAAGCCGCCACAAAACATCAGGGATTGCCATGGGCTTAGTCACTTACGTTTCAAAATGTTCCTCTGTTCCAGTTCTTCCGCAGTTGGCCTCTGGCTCAGCCGCCTACGGAAAAAATCCAGGAAAAGTTTTTGGACCATATCATAGCCTCCTTGGGTCATTAATCTCCTCGGCCCTTGCAGATACATGAGACAGAGTCAGTGGCTGGAGTTCTTGTTCCATCCTGTGCTCTGAAAGACTGACTCTCGCCACCACCGCCTCCTCAGTTCCTCAATTTCAAGCCCAGGAGAGGCACGTGCGTCATGTCACAGCCGCTGACCCCCGCCCTCCTCCCTGCAGCGGCCCCTCCCCAGCCCCGTCTCCTCCAGTGGCCCCAGGCAAGTGGACTGCAACTTAGACGGGACTCTTGTCTTCACAGAAGTCCTTTTCTTTCCTTGTGGCCTCCTAACTTGGGGACTGTGGCCTCTTGCCTCTCCCTCCCTTGAGGCTAAAGCCTGTCTTGTGCGTCTTCTGTGCAGACTCAGAACATAAAGAGGCCTGTGGCCTCGGGGACATGTGAGAGCGTGTGTCTGTCTGCAGAGAACAACGGCTGCTCTTCTTTTGGTCCTGCTCCTCTTATTCCAGAGCCTTAGAGGACATGAGTGGCAAAGGCACAGAAATGACACTCCTGTGGCCAGGCATGAAATTTAGCCACCGTAAGTGAAGCATCATAGCCAGGGCATGAGCCTGCAATGATGCAATGCGTGGAGGCAGGGACAGGCAGTGGATGGCACGTAGTGACAGAAGTAGCCAGGGAACGGGCATGGCATCCGAGGGGGGAATGCCTGCATTAGGTCCCAGGAATGACTGACACGGACTCAGGAGCCTGAGCAGGAACAGAGACGTCTGTACCTTTGAAGTTTTGGTAATTATTTAACAACGCTGCAATTATCCAGCATTCCACTTCACCCACTGGGATGAGGTGTGTGAGACTGAATCATTGCAGAGGAAATTTTAGGCTTCTCAGACTCCTCTACTGGGATCTAAGGGATAGAGAGGATGCTCTCCTAGTTACGGAAGTTGCAGTTCCTCCCTGGGTATTAGAAACTGGTGTCCATAGTTGGCAAGATGTTCACATCTTAAAATCTGAAGAGAGATCCTAGAGTGAAAATATAAGTCAATGAAGTCTCCAAACATAACTACAGTTGGTTCTCTGTATCCATGAATTCCACATTCTTCGGTTCTACCAACTGCAGATGGAAAATATTTTAAAAATACAAACAAAAACAATAGTCTAATAATTACTGATATAGCATTTATCTTGTATTAGATATAAGTACTTTAGAGATGATTTAAAGGATATGGGAGGGTATGCGTAGTTTTTTTGCAAATACTAAGCCATTTCATACAAGGGGCTTGAGCATCCTTGGATTTTGGTATCCAAGGGAGTCCTGGACTCAGTCTCCCAGAAAGGACTATATTTTTAATTCAAAGCTTGTTGTCATTTGTGTTTTTCTTTATTGCATTAGGCCAGAATCAATTGCTTCTGTGACATTCCCGTGTCACTACCACATATCCTATATAGGGAATGGGCTTCAATGTCTCATATAGTTTGGATATTTGTCTCATGTTGAATGGTAATCCCCATTGCTTGGGGTGAGGCCTGGTGTAAGGCGCTTGGATGGGGAGCCCTCATGGCTTGGTTCTGTCTTCTTGACAGGGAGTTCTTGCAATATCTGGTCATTTAAAACTTTGTGGCGAAACCCTGTCTCTATTAAAAACACAAAAATTCGCCGGGCATGGTGGCACATGCCTGTAATCCCAGCTACTTGGGAGGCTGAGGCAGGAGAAGTGCTGGAACCTGGGAGGTGGAGGTTGCAGTGAGTCGACATTGTGCCACTGCACTCCAGCCTGGGCAACAACGTGAGACTCTGTAACAACAACAACAACAACAACAACAACAACAACAACAACAAAAAGCGTGTGGCAACTCCCTGCCCACTCTCTCTCTTGCTCCTGCTTTTGCCATGTGATGTGCCTTCCTCTCCTTCACCTTCCTCCATGATTGGAAGCTTCCTGAGGCTTCCCTAGAAGTCAAGCAAATGCCAGGGCCATGCTGCCTGGATAGCCTGCAGAACCATGAGCCAATTAAACCTCTTTTCTTTATAAATTACCCAGTCTGAAGTATTCCTTTATAGTAATGCAAGAATGGCCTAATACAATGTCAGAGAAAGGATTTTTTTTTTTTTTTTTTGAGACGGAGTCTCGTTCTGCCGCCCAGGCTGGAGTACAGTGGCCTGATCTCAGCTCACTGCAAGCTTCCGCCTCCTGGGTTTACGCCATTCTCCTGCCTCAGCCTCCCGAGTAGCTGGGACTACAGGCGCCCGCCACCTCGCCCGGCTAGTTTTTTGTGTTTTTAGTAGAGACGGGGTTTCACCGTGTTAGCCAGGATAGTCTTGATCTCCTGACCTCGTGATCCGCCCGTCTCGGCCTCCCAAAGTGCCGGGATTACAGGCTTGAGCCACCGCGCCCGGCCAGAGAAAGGATTTTTGGTCATATACCTGCCTGTCAAACCTACAGTACCCTGAAACTGTTGGAAATTGCATTCCAAAGTGTTTTTAAGAGTATAAGAACATTTTCATATTTATTATTCCTTTTCAAAATATCCCCATGGCATAATATAAAACATTTGTTTTTGACCCAGTTCCTATCACAGAGCACCTAAAATGCTTGGAATTTCCGGAGTGTCAGGAGTGTATTTTGTTACTTGGAATGAGTCCCTTTGGATCACACCAGAGTTTGTGCCAATTAGGTGACTTAGGATGGGGCTGGCTACTAGAAAGACTACATGGTTAGAGGCGTGGAGCTTTCAGCTGGGAAGCGGGAGGGTAGGGGGCTGGAGGTGAAGTTCTATGGAAATTCTTGAACCACAAGATTAGATGAGCTTCCTGGTGGCTGACCACAGGGCTGGGGGCCACTTCTGGGAGGGTGGCACCTGGACAGTGCACAGAAGCTCTGCCTCTGTCCCCCAATACCTTGCCCCATCCATTTCTTCATCTGGCTGTTCATCTGTGACCTCTGTAAGGAACTGGTAAAGTAAGTGTTTCCCTGAGTTCTGTGTGAGTAGTCTTAGCAAATTATTTAAACACAAAGAGGGAGTTGTGAGAATCCCAATTTACAGCTAGTGGGTCGTAAGTATCGGTGACAACCTGCGACTTGGTATTGGCATCTGAAGTGGGGGGCAGTTCTGTGGGACTGAGTCCTTAACCTGTGTAATCTGACGCTATCCCAGTAGAAAGGGACAGAATCAAATGGAATTACAGGACGCCTAGTTCGTGTCTGCTGGAGAATTGCTTGGTGTATGGGGAACTGTGTCACACAGAAGTGTGTGGGGTCACGCAAGTGTGCTAAGTGTGAGAGTAGAGTGAAAAAAGTTGTTGTTTTTTCCTTTTTTTGAGACGGAGTTTAGCTTTTGTTACCCAGGCTGGAGTGCAGTGGTGTGATCTCAGCTCACTGCAACCTCTGCCTCCCAGGTTCAAGCGATTCTCCTGCCTCAGCCTCCTGAGTAGCTGGGATTACAGGTGCGCGCCACCATGCCCCACGCTAATTTTTTGTATTTTTAGTACAGACAGGGTTTCACCATGTTGGCCAGGCTGGTCTTGAACTCCTGACTTCAGGTGATCCACCTGCTTCAGCCTTCCAAAGTGTTGGGATTACAGGCGTGAGCCGCTGCACCCAAAGTTTGTTTTTTTTCTTTGCAATCCCATTAAGACATTTTTCATCCCCATTGACAAGGGCCAGCTGTGTATTTGGAAATTCACAATATTAGAGGGTCTAAATTTGGACGCAGCATCGTTTGAGTCCTTTCTAAAATAGCATTCTCATGCTGCAGGAGGAAAATGGTGATTATACAACTGAGTGAGCCGGTGTCAGAGGTCTGGAATGCAGCTTACCGACTCCACGTTGAAAGATCTTAACAGCCCTTTCTCACCTGCCAGTTTATTTTCCCTAAAAATACTTGCTGCTTTTATAAGGGATGGGAGCCACTTTTATGGAATGGTTTGGTAATACCCAGGCTTTAAGTCGAGCTAAGTTTTGGGGGCACTATGTTTTGAGAAAGCCTTGTAAATGCGGGTGGCGCCTACATCTTGGAGGTCAGGCCAGTGTTTCAGAGTCTTATGCAAAGTGTCTGCAGACTACACTGTTTCCTCATCAGCTTTGACGGTGCCATCCCATTGATCTCATCACTGAACATGACAACTGGCTCTGTAGTGGCCCCCTTTTTTTTTTAAATGGGTGGTCATATTTGGAGGGGGTGAAACTGAGTGACTAGACTCTGATCCGAGAAAATTCTGTTATTAACTAGGCTGCTTTATAGTCAAACACCCATAATTTCAAATGAGGTCCTCTGTTTATGTTTTATTTCTCTGGAAAGCGACTGAGAACATCAAGACTAATCATCACTATAAAATGCAGCTGAGCGCGCCAGAAGGGCCTGTGCTATAGTTAGTTTGACCTTGAAAATGAGATTTGGGAAGAAAATGATATGGTGGCATTGTAATGACAAAGCACTAAGTAGCTCAGGAGCTAGAAGATTTGGGTTCTAGTCCTGGCTCTGCTCTGAACTTATTTACCTCGGACAAGGTATCGGATCCTGCTAGGCCTGTGTTCTTTTCTCTGCAAATAATAAATACTAATTTAATAAGCTAAGGCTGATTTAATGCCTATAATGTAAGGGTGTGGTTCCAAGCACTGTACATATGTTCATTCATTTAATCTTTATCTCAAGATTTTTAACCGAATTCCAGTTGCAAAGTCTCCTTTGCCCTGGAAGGTTACATATTCATAGATTTGGGGATGAATATGTGGACGTCTTGTGGAAGGGTAGTCAATATTTTGTCTGCCATAACCACGGTACTTTAAGTCAGAGGTTGCAAACTGATGTCTGGTGCACTGGATTTGACTCTATCAGTTCTCTTTGGCATGCTCAGAGGTTACACTTTTTCTCTCTTTTTTTGAGGCGGAGTCTTGCCCTGTTGCCCACGCTGGAGTGCAGTGCTGCAATCTCAGCTCACTGCAACCTCCACCTCTTGGGTTCAAGCGATTCTCCTGCCTCAGCTTCCCAAGTAGCTGGGATTACAGGTGCGTGCCACCATGCCCAGCTAATTTTTGTATTTTTAGTAGACATGGGGTTTCACCATGTTGGCCAGGCTGGTCTCAAACTCCTGACCTCAAGTGATCACCCACCTTGGCCTCCCAAAGTGCTGGGATTCCAGGCATAAGCCACTGAGCCCAGGTGGTTTCACTTTTTTTGAGCCTGAATGCCTTCAGACAGAGTGTGTGTGATCTAATTAGCCCACTCCCCAGGCCTCACTTAGATAGTACAGGTGAGCATGCTCACATCTGTCCTGCTTTTTTTTTTTTTTTTTTTTTCAGATCATTCCTGGACCCCCGAGGGCCTCTGAGTTTGAGACGCTGGATGAGATCATCAAATGATAAGAATTCCAATTTTTGTTTTCCTAAGTCTTTCATCCGCCAATCTACCCAACAGGAACCAGGGGCCACCTGGAGGCCAGGCACGTTTTTAAGATGATCACAGCCCAGAGGTGCACATCGGTGATTACAATGTACGAGGTAAAACTGGATCAGCAGTTTCCAAGGACTGGCGTGTAATAAAATATCCTCAAAACAACAAGCAAGTTGGGCATGACTTAGACTTTCACTGCCCATGTGGAAGGCACTGTTCATTCTTGCAGCATCTCAGTTGGCCATCAAGAGCTGAGTCAGACAAAAACCATTCAGCAGCCACACGGAAGTGGGGCTGGCTGGGCACAAGGCAAAACTGTGAAGGAGATAAAGTGTCTGTGGTTCTGCCTTGACTCTACTCCCTGGAGTCCTCCCCTCTCGAGTTCCTAGAATTCTGTCATCACTCTTGCTCTATCTCATTCCTGTCAAGACTTGTTTTAGAAATGGGTGCCAGAGACTCAGCTACATTCAAATGTAAACCCATTCATTCATTTAGCAAGTTACTTATTAGTGCCAGTGCTGTGTCAGGTTCTATGTTAGGTACCAGGGTACAGTGATGAGCAAAACCAGTCCCTGCCCTTCTGGAACAGAGAAGATTGGAAGAGGATGGGGGGTAGCCATTAATCAAACAGTCACAGAAATGAGTGTAAAATGTAGCTGGAGTAAGGGCTTCCATGGTGAGGTACTTGGTGCAGGGATCTCTGGATCTGACCAAATCGGAAGGTCAGGAAAGGCTTCCAGGAGGAAGCGACACTGTG